TTAGTTATATAATAAATAACAATTAACTAGCAGGGGAGATGGGAGTCAACATACATCACCATATACCTGCTTTAGAAACAACTTTGTGTAGGACAACAAAACCTTTGAAGCTGACCGTGAGTAGTAGCCTTCGTGGTCTCAAGCAGCCCAACACCTAAAAATAGACCACTTTGCTGTTTTCTTTTTATAAAATAAAAAATTTTGTTTCATACTTTGTATGAATTTCCTCTTTCATGGTCAATGCCCAAATGAAATAGCCCCAGAGAAGTTAGACAGCTTCATACATAGGAAAATGCAGTGGAATGGAAAGACCTTGGTTCTAGTAGCAGCTCCCAATCTACAAGATGCTCATCTGTCACCTTAGGGAAACTCAATGTGAACCTCAGTCTTAGCTTAGTTATCATTTGAGTGGTGGTGTCAAATTAGATCAGGTCCAAGGACTTCTCAAGGTCTAATGCTCTGAGATGTTGATGCCAGGCTGACATTTGAAACACAGAGATGCCCTTAGGATACTTCAAGCAGATGTTAATGCCCATTCTGGTGGGAGTTAGGATTGCCATGATGTCAGCAGAAGCATGAAATCTGAAGGCTGGCCTCCTGATGTAAGGAGGGGAGCAAGGCTTTATTTGCAATTGGACTAGAGGTCATTTATGTTAAATTATGACAAGGACCAGGTACTCTTTCCAAGGAAACTGAGTGACCATTGATTCAATGTGTATGTATTAATTTGTTTGTAACTTCAAATTTTTCATACGGTTGGGGCTATAGCATGGGCATTACTTACTATTTGCTGTCATGTTTATAGTGATAGGATGAAGAACATATTAAATGTGTTTTACAATTTCTCTTTCTTTCTTGTATATTACATTTCACATATTGAATAACTATTCCTTTTATACAACCTCCCAAATTGTATTTGCTCATGTATTATGGCCTGTGGCTATGGTTAAATATTGGGCCACTAAGCCACAGCAGCAATCACTTGTTCTCAGGAGCTTCACAGGGAGGTAAGTGTTTCTGTGATACAGCATCCATTAAAAGAAGGAATTTTATTCTCTCTGCACTAGTATTTAAAAGACAGTGTGAGAGATGTTTGATATCCATTGGACAGAAGAATAGCAACAGCTATTCTTATTGGGGCCTATGATCTTCCCAGCTATAGGTTTTTGTCCTCGCTTACAAGGAAAGTAATGAAAGATATGAACCCTCCCTGTGGTTACTATTGCTCATGCAACATTCTGCCTGGCATTCAGTACTTGAGCAAGCAGGATCCATAGTCTAGTGGAATTATCCATGACAACTTTGCCCCAGCAGCCTGTGTAACAATTTTCCACACTAGCAGTGCAGAGACAGCTTCCATCTCAGCCTAAGCTTTATTTCTTTATGCCCTGAACCAAAGCTTGTGGAGTTGACAGCAAAGGATCCTTCCATCTTGTTCTTCCTTGAAAACAACAGCAATGATGATACTCTTTGTGGTGAGGAGGGCTCAGAGGCCTCTATGACCAATAACTTATAGGCATGTTTCTCACAGCTGGGCTATTTAATAACATATGGAAGTGTCCTTTTGACCCAATATATGATACCTTATTTAGTCAAGTCCTTTAGCTATTGTTTTAATAATCCATATATTTTTAAACTAACCCATGCCCAGCAGGGTTGTAAGGTAGATGAAATTACTGTTTTTCTTGCTTGTCACAGTCAATTTCTGTATACCACTGTTTATGAAATGATTACACCAGCCAAATTTTTGTGGGTGTCCAAACATGGAACTGAGCTGGATGAGATCTTTGATTATGGATTTACCTGTTATCCACTTGAAAGGAAATATTTAGATTATGGCCATAGTAGTCCTCATAGGTGAGAGTATATTTGATTTCCTTGCTGGAAGGCATAAGACTTACAGTCTATCTGCTACCTCCTCATGGGACAAACCAGCTTATGCTTGTGTCCAATACACTATTGTCATTTCTACTGGGTTAACAGGATACACAGCTATTTCTCATGCCTTTTGTGATTCTTAGTTTCTTCCAAACTTCTTGATTCTTTTCAGATGAATCTCAAATCACACACATCTGCATTCCAAGTCACACAAAGGATGGGCTATTTGAGCTAAATGAAAAATTTCCAATATCCCAAGTGCTCCAGTATACCTGTGGCTCTTTTACATTTACAGGCACAGGACACTACAAGATTTTAAAAAATAATTTTTTCAGGTATCTGTCATTAGTGTCTTACAGGACCATAATATTCCCCAAAATTTTACAACTGTGTCTGGCTCATGTTCCTTGTGTGGATTCATCTTCTACTTTTGTTTTTCTATGGGTACATAAAAGGTTTTAGATTTTTGTTTAATCTGAAAATCACTCAAGAGTTTAACATCAT